TGTCTTGTGTGGGCCTCAGGCAGGGGTATGGGGTGCTGCTGACAGGGCCCCGGGGGGCATCTCTCCACAGGCTGGTCCCTCGAGGTGCTGGAGCTGTGTAAGAAGTACCATCAGAACACTGTGGTGGCCATTGACCTGGCTGGGGACGAGACCATTGTAGGAAGCAGCCTCTTCCCGGGCCACAGGGCAGCCTATGAGGTGGGCCTATGGAAGGGGCTTCGCTGTCCTGAAGGATCTCATAGGGAGAATGTGCATGCTCTGAGTCCCCCCAGGTGTGTCCTGGTTGAAGTTGGGGTCTGGAACTTCATATAAAGAAAAGCCGGCATGCAGTATTGGGAGTGCTGGTTGACCCTCTGCCTGCCTATGATTTGCTGTGTGGCCTTGGACAAAACTGTCTCTCTCTGGGCCTAGTTTTCCTGGTGCCATACTTCCAGTTTGGCCTTGGTCCCATGACTTAATTTTGTGAGCCTCAATTTCCTTTTGTGTAAAATGAGTGTGATGTTTAGAGGTGCTAGAACATGTACACACTTTCAAAGGGTGCCTCTCTTAGACATGCCAGGGGTAGGGTGGGAGGGAGGAGGGGGGGATGGGAGGTGGAATCAAAGCCAGACTGCCCTGTTGAAGCCCAGTCTGTCCATGGGGACCATCAAGCTGGCCAAAATTTAGCCCCCAAGTCTGCTGGAGGCAGGGCCGGCCAAGGCCCTCCCCAGGAAGCCCTGACGTGGCTCTTGTCCTTCCAGGAGGCCGTAAAGAGTGGTATCCATCGCACGGTCCATGCTGGGGAAGTGGGCTCTGCCGAGGTGGTGAGAGAGGTGAGGAGCCACTGGCCACGGGACCCTTCTGGTTGCCCCCTCCACCCCGGCTCACCCCTCTCTCTCCTCCCTCCTTCTCCACAGGCTGTGGATGTCCTCAAGACTGAGAGGGTGGGACATGGCTACCACACCCTGGAGGACGAGGCCCTTTACCAGAGGCTGCGACGGGAGAACATGCACTTTGAAGTAAGGAGCCAGGGCTGGGGGGAACTGTCTCTAACTTTCCCTTCCCCTACTAGACAGAGAGGCCAAAACCCAGGTGGGTCCTGTGGGCTGGTCACTGGACATCCACAGTAGAGGATTCATAGGCCACAGCAGCAGCAAGGCCAATGCAACCTGGCAAGAATGCAGCACAGCAGGTGGCCCTGCCGCTGCAGGGTGTGGCCTGGGGCTACCTGCTGTGCCAGCCACACACCTGCCCTTGCAGGTCTGCCCCTGGTCCAGCTACCTCACAGGCGCCTGGAACCCGAAAACGGAGCATGCAGTTGTTCGGTGAGATGTTTTGTTCCTGGAAAGCCATGGATGGGAGGGAATGCAGGGTCCAGGTACCAGCTCATGCTGGGTCTTAGTTATGAAGTCTCTTCGCTTGGGAAGCAGGTGTGACTGACCTCACCGACAAATGCTCAAGTTTACTGTAATTCGACATCGGCCACCCTCTCCCCTCCATCCTAATTAGCAGAGCCAGGGGCTCTGCAGCAAACTCAGTTCCAGAATGCCACAGAGTGAAATTTCCACACTCCTCTCCTACTTCCTGTTCTGTGCTCCTGGTGCAGCCAGGCACTCCCTAATGCTAGCTTGGGGCTTGCCCCTGGACAGTCTTTCCCCAAGCTACTTCATTCTATGCCATGTCTATCCAGGCCTAAGGTCCTTCTTTTGTCCAGTGACTGAGCCCTGGAACACAATACCTGGTATTAAGAAGGCAAGGCTGCCTTCTGAGGCAGTAAAAACTGGCAATGGTCAGAGCAGTGCTGGTCTGTCAATCAAGGCTATATGGAGGGGAGGGGCTTGTGCTCTGAGGCTCTGATATGGCAGGCCGCCACACCTGGCTTAGCATGTGGCAAGGTACCTGCCAAGTGGAGGTTCTTCAAGACACGTGGGAGGTAGTGAAGCGAGAAAGCCTAGGATAGAACCCAGGCCAGTGACATTTAAGGGACAGAAAAAGGAAAGCCAAAAGTATAGTGTCATAGAGATCTAGGGACAAGACCAAGAGGAGTCAACAGTGTCAATTCTGCTACATAAGTCAAGGATGGGAGAGAGCTAGGAAAGAGCCATTAGATTTGATAGGAATCCAGGGTTAGGAAGTGGAGCTGTGGCTCAAAGTGGTAGAGCACTAGCCTTGAGCAAAAGCTCGGGGAGGCTGGGCAGGTGGCTCAGTGGTAGAGCGCTCGGCTTGCATGCCTGAGGCCCCGGGTTCGATTCCTCAGCACCACAGACACAGAAAAAAGCCGGAAGTGGCGCTGTGGCTCAAGGGGTAGAGCGCCAGCCTTGAGCCAAAGAAGCTCAGGGACAGCGCCCAGGCCCTGAGTTCAAGCCCCAGGAATGGCAAAAAAAAAAAAAAAAGCTCGGGGACAGAGCCCAGGCCTGGAGAGGAGAGGGGGGGGGGGAGAGAGAGAGAGAGAGAGAGAGAGAGAGAGAGAGAGAGAGAGAGGGGAGAAAGGGGGGGAGAGAGAGGGAGAGAGGGGGGAGAAAGGGGAGAGAGAGAGAGAATCCAGAGTTCGATTGGGATTAGCCCAGAGGCAAAGTGCTTGCCTAGCAAATGCAACATTCTGGGTTTGATCAAAAAAAAAGCTGAGATCTGAGGATCACGGTTCAAAGCCATACCAGGCAGAAAAGTCCATGAGAGTCTTATCTCCAATCAACCACCAGAAAGCCAGAAGTGGCACTATGGCCCAAAGTGGTAAAATACTAGCCTTGAGTGAAGAAGCACAGTGACAGTGGCATTAAGCTGTGAGCTGCTAGCTAGGTGGCTCTGGACAAAGTCCCCAGAGTTCTCTGAGTTTGTGTCTCCTCTGTGCCAGGATCCAGTCCTTCAGGAATGTCTGAGGCTGCGGGAGGATCAATGGGGACAGGTGGGGGTAAAAGGAACCTTTCTTCCTTCCCAGCTTCAAGAACGATCAGGCTAACTACTCGATCAACACGGATGACCCTCTCATCTTCAAGTCTACCCTGAACACTGATTACCAGATTATCAAAGGGGACATGGGCTTTACTGAGGAGGAGTTTAAGCGGCTGGTAAGTGGGAGTGAGCTGTCACCATGAAGCCGGCCCCAGGGGCTGAGGCCCTATGCAGGGCCTGGAACCTCAGGATTACTGGCATGTGCCTAAAAGTCCTAACCTGGGTCAGATGTCCTGTCTGAGGGCCAGGTAGTTTAGCCTTTGCTTCAGTCAAGTGCCCTGAGTGGACCCCTCTCTCTGAGGTTTGCTCAGCTGCTTCTACAGTCCAGGCTGAGTCTCAGACCTGGGTTCCAGTGTCCCAAGTATGTCCCTGAGTGGCTCTTCCCTCCCCCCCCCCCCCCCCCATCCCACCGCATCCCTCCAGGCCTTGGCTAACCTACTGCTTACATCCGTGCCATGTGGTCCTGTGTTAAGAACCACATGGTCTCTGCTCTGATGCTTGCTGCCATGGCTGGGGATTCCCTGCCATGTCCTGTGAAGAGCAGGGACTGTCCCTGGGTTACCAAGGGCTCCCCTCTTGCTCTGGCTCCATATCTCCCTCTCTGGCCCTTCTAGAACATCAATGCAGCAAAGTCCAGCTTCCTCCCAGAGGACGATAAGAGAGAGCTCCTCGACCGGCTCTATAAAGACTACAACATGTCACCCTAGAAGGCTGGTATGTTCCTGCCTAGGCCTGCCTTGGCTCCCGCTCGGCTTTCCGTGGGACTTCTAACAAGAGCACTTCTTGGGCAGCACCAAGAATGTGTGATGACTGCCTGGCGCTCTCATGGCCACCTCTCAGCAGTGGCTTATTTTTGTGTGACTGTTTGCCTGAGGGGAAACTTCCTGATGGCCAGTCTACACCATCTGGGGCAGCTTGTGCTGTTGCCATGGCTGCCTAAAGCCCAGGGCAGGGAGCTGGGCCAGGTCCTCATTTTGTTCCTACCTTCCTGGGCAGGCTCAGTGGGGCACTCCCTTGCTCAAAGCCTCAGTCCTGTCACCTGTAGAAGGGGTTCTTTCCTGGTTTTGGAGTGCTGTGATTTTTACACTACACTGCTGACTTCCGCTCCTCTGACTTGACAGCAGAGCAGGACCCCTGAAGAGGACTTGGCTGCCTCTGAGCCCTCACCCTGTGGATGGGATCTTCACAACTCCGTGGGATCAAGTGACACTCTGACCTTTATTTCTTCCAGGAAGACTGAGCCAATAGTCAGCTCCTGATGCTCTTATAGCTGTAAGGCTGTCTGTGTACAGACAGACCTCTGCAGGGCCTTGTCTCTCCTCTGATCATGTCATGTACCAATGGCACATATGAATCTGGAACCTCCTCTTAAGGTGATTCATGCTAAAAAAAAATCTGGTGCTCAATAAAGCAGCTGGTGGCTAGTGTGGTGCAGCACATGTGTGTGGTCTTGGGCTTGTGATTTAGGTAGCGAAGAGAATGGAAGGGCACTGGGAATGGCACATGGGCAGCCTGCTCAGCAGCAAGGGTCCTAGAGCCCTATAAAGGCTGTGAATGGAAACTCAAGAGTCTGAAAGAAATGAGGCTTCCTAGCCAGGCGCCGGTGGCTCACTATTCAGGAGGCTGAGATCTGAGGATCGCAGTTCAAAGCCAGACCGGGCAGGAAAGTCCATGAGACTCTTATCTCCAATAAACCACTAGAAAACTTGAAGTGGTGCTGTGGCTCAAGCGGTAGAGCGCTCGCCTTGAGCTGAAGAGCGCATAGTGCCCAAGCCCAGAGTTCAAGCCCCACGACCAACCACAGCCCACTGTGTTCTTGGCTGTACTCTGAGCTTAAGTGGAAAACTTGCTTTTGGTGCTCAAAGCTATGGGCTGTGAGACAGGGCAGATGAGTGGGGGAAGGGCTCATCGGACACAGAACCAGGAGCACTGCTGGTCACGAAAGGACACTGGCATCTTCTTAGAAGTGTATTCTATGCAAGCCTGGGAGGTTACAGCCCAGCTGACAACTGACTTGAGAAAACAAGGCCTCCCAGCCTCTGCTCTCACTGTTCAAAGGAAAGAGAAACCAGTCACACAAATCAGCTTTATTTCTCAGGGCCTAAGTGTCACTTATCTTGGTAGAAAGGGCAAAGAATCCGTCAGTTAGCTTAGATCCCAAATCCTTTCCCTAACAATGGACCTGTGAAGCTCCATGAGGGAGCCTCAGAGCTGCATAGATGGTCAGAGCCAGCTTGAAACAGCTTCCAGAACAAAAAGGAATTGATTGTCAGCTCCCTCCCTCTGCTGAAGAAAGGTTTGAAGTTTTTAAAAAAGTTTAAAAGTGTTTCTTAAAAAAGGGATATGAAGGTCTTGGCCCAGAGGCTGGGGTTGGAAAGGAGGGGCGGTGCCAGGACATGCTCAGTCCCATCCAGACGGCAGCAGAAGGAACGTGACCTGGCTGTTCACCTGGTAGACAGGGCCTGACCCGAGCCCTGCCCCACTGAATAAATAACATCCTGTGGTTACAGCATCTTCAAAGTGTACCTGGGCATGGCGAGAGGGTGGTGGTTATAGGGAGCCTGTGGGGTGGGCAAAGAGCTTTCTGAGAAGGGGCCATGGAGGCCTCCACAGGGCTTCATAGTTTGGCCTGGCACATGGGCTCAGAGAAGAGGCTACTTGGCCAGTGCCAGGGCTCTTGTTCCGGGGGGCAGGGGGACAGCAGGTCTCTCTTCCAGCCTCTGTGGACAAAGGCAGACTCAAGATGAGGTGGTTCCATCACAGCTCTCAGGTTGGTTGCTGGCCTCCTTGTCAGAAGTGCTTGCTTCTGCCTGTCCTTCTGGAGAGGAAAGAAGAGCATGTTTTCTTGGGGAACTGGAGGAGAACAGCCAAACTGATAAAAGTAGCTAAAGCTCCAGATTATGGCAGGAGCTGGACTGGGGGTGGCAGTGGCCAAAGATCATCAGCCAACTGTCTAATATCTTAACCCAGACATGCACGGGGAGTTGCTAGTATAATAAGTCAATTGAAAGTGAGGATGGTAGACAGGTGCTGGGAGCATGGGGTGAAGGGAGTTGTACGGGTTCCCCAGAGGGAGAAGGCAAATGTCAAGTCCCCAACGTGAACTGAGTGAATGGGAGTATCCATGTAGGATACTGAGCAGGCCAGCTTAGGAGTACCAGGTGCCAGGCCTACCTCAAGGCACCTTTAAGGGTGTTTGACACATCCTGGATATATGTGTCTACATTACACTGTATTTAGGAAGCCTGATCCAGCTTATTACTGACAGCCTCTACCCCCTTTCTATCCAAGACAGCCAGAAACCTAGGGGGGTGGGGAGGAGAGTGGGGACAGCGGCCCACAGCAACAACTAGCCCAGTAAGTTGGGGTGGAGCCTCACTTAAGCCCCACTGTGGAAGAGGTAACGGGAGGGCCTGCCATCGCTCACGCTACCAGCAGTGCACGGTGAGCAGAGCACCCAACGTGAGCCCAGTCCCTCCCCCCGCAGTCTCAGTGCCCTCTTCAGGAGGCTGCTGAGAGGCAGGACGACGCCTCTACCCCAGGGCCTGGCTCTGAGCACTGCCTATCACTGGCATAGTCCCTAAAGAAGCAGACAGGGGAGGGCGTGTTGAGACCAGCAGGGTTCTACTGTGGCTGGGCTTAGAGGGCAAGAGGGGAGGAGTGAGCTGAGGCTGGACAGGGAAGCAACAGGAAACCCAAAGAAGCATTTACTCCACCCTAGGACTAAGGGCTGACCAAAGGGGCTCCTGAGTGGGGTACAGAGGAGAGGTGTCAGGGGACTCTTAAAGCTGCCTTGCTAACATGGTAACTTGATGGAGAGCCCCAAGAAAGCCACCCACGTTCTCAGTCTGTCCATCTCTAACAGGAGAGGGTTGCACTGCTGCTCTCCCAAAGTCTTCTGTCCTTGGAGGTCCCCCCTCCTGGCATCAAGGACCAATACCTCTAGACTGGAGCTGCACACAGAAAGCCAAGGCTACAGCCCTGTAAGGACTGCCCCCACTGCACACAGTACACGGCAGTGTACTGGGGGAAGAGCCAGATCACGGGTCAGAGGATGACCCAAGGACTTGAGCTGCGCAAGGTCCTCTGGAAGGACAGGAGAAAGGGAGGAACGAGACATGTCCTAAGCTATCCCTGAGTAGATATGCAGCCTTCCACCTAGGCCTTCAATCAGCCAGTGATTTCCAAGCTCCTGCCACATGCAGGCAGAACAAAGGCCCCTGCTTTCCCAGAGCTCAAATTTAAACAAATGAGCCCTTGTCCTGTGAGTCATGTGAGTGTGGAGGATGGAAGCTGTCACCCATACAGGAAGCCCCATAGAGCACCTACTATCTTCATTGGGATGTATCCTGAAGGAGAACCAACAGGACATGCAAGTGGACTGGGGCAGGGGGAGGGGAAATGCCCTGGATGCCGGCATCCTCCAGCCTATAGCTTGGCTGGACTCTGCCATTGACTGTGAGATGGGCCCAGTTTAAATGTAGCTGCTTCTTTGGGCAGTCTAGGAATGGGGGCCAGCCTAGAGCTGGCAGAAGCTCCCTCCCCCCACCCCTGGGATGATGGAGACACTGGCTCTGACCTGCCCCCTCCAGTGCCAGCTCGCCCATGTCTCCAGCCAGCTTCCGCACGCTCACGGCCTCCGAGTCGCCTTGGATGTCAGGGACTGCATTCCGACGGCCTGTCCGGTCACAGGAGATGAAGTCCGAGTAGGAGGACTCGACCTCCATCATGCCTGTTGCATTGCTCCTTGGGCCTATGGGGACAGAAGGCAGAGGGGCAGAAGTGAGGTGGTGAGACTTTCTGACAAAATGAGATACTTAGTACTTGTTTCAAGTTTCTGTTCTGTTTGAAGACAGAACAGAAGGCACACAAAAGTACACACAACTACTAAGTTACTGGCCATTTCATACCCACACAGCCACCATTCACATCCTGAACAGGTGTTTCAGTCTTATTCTAAGAGACTGGTTAATATTTCCATATTTATCAACATCATGTGCCAGGCACTGGCTGGAGCTGTGGACACAGCAGTGAACACATCGTCCCTGCCCTCACAGAGCTACTGCAGGTATCAAACTGCATGGCATCAAACCATCTAGGACTGAGGCTAAGACCAGGGTGCTCAAGGCTTCAGGGGAGAAAGCAGGACATGGGAGTGACCACCAGGATCTGACCATGGCTGACCAGGGGTCAGGAAGAGACCCGTCAGTCAAGATCCAAGAACAAACAGCCATTGTGTAATGGGCAGCAGAGGAAGAACATCACAGATGACTCATGAGTCGGCCTCAGGAGACCCCTGTGGAGGCTCAGAAGTGAGGAAATGGTGGGGAGCAAAGGTGACAGTGAGCCAGATGCTGCAGGTATGGAGGACAAGCCAACAGGACTGAAGTGTTTGGCTTGTGGAGACTTAGGTTCCTGTCCCCTGCCACTGTGAGGAATGATAGGAAGAGTATTTGGGGAATGAAGGTAGGTGGAAAGGTAGAGTTCTAGCTCACCACACTGACATCAAGATATCAGAAGCCTTCCAATGGGAGAGGCAGAGTGGATCAGAGAGCAAGGAGGTTGAAGATCAGAAGAGGTAGGAAAGGGGGTTAGAAAGGAAAGATGTGAAATTAGGAATGATTGCTAACATGACATGGTTAACAGTCCTAATAAAATCCTAGAGATAGAAGATGACCACATACACAAAGATGAGCCAGCCATGAATACTTAAGGATTATTCCGGGATCAAGATCTATGGCTTACTCTTTGGAACAAAGGCCCTACACCAATCTAAAGCTCTTAAGTAAAGGCAGTAACAAAACTGTGTGAGGCAATCCCGTCTATCTCCAGCAGATGGTGCGTGCTGCTTGACCTTTTTCTTAGCTGCCTCCAGAGCTAGCTGACTAGCTGCACTAGTCAGCTCAAACTTTCCCAGTGGTGGTTCCTTCTGCTGGTCACAGGGCTGGGGGATTGCCTGTTGCAATCGTGACAAAAATAGTAACACCACCAAGTACAGATTACAACAATGCCAGAAACAGTAAAGACAACATTTATTGTTGTGGTTTACAAATGTCACTTGATTAATGGCCATTAAGCAAGTCATTAAGTGGTATAACTTTATCACCACAACTCTCAGGCTGACTAATCTGGCTCCTGGGCTCCAGGCTCTTCTTCTACATAATACCAGCTGCCAATAGGCAGACTGTGGGCAGACCACACCTGTTTCCACATCTCCTGTGCTCAGAACAGCAGCTCCATGACAACAGGCATTTTAGTCTGGGTCTTCACCACCCTAGACTGAAGGGCCAACAGTGGCAGCTAAGTTAACATGCTCTGCTCCTCCTCCTCCCCAAAGCTCTACTGGCACCAGTTAAAGGGTAGGTGATTTGCACTGGGGTGTGGCTCAAAAGATAGAGAGCTCACCTAGAAAGCACAAGTTCCCTCACCCCTCACCCTCCACAAATACTCTTTGGATTTCTTTTTTTTTTTTTGAGGGGGGGTCCAGTCATGGGGCCTGAACTCTGGGCCTGGGCTAGCACTCTACACTTGAGCCATAGCGCCACTTCCGTCTTTTTTCTTTTTTTGCTTATGTGGTGCTGAGGAATCGAACCCAGGGCCTCACGCATGCGAGGCAAGCGCTCTACCACTGAGCCACCTTCCCAGCCCCTACTCTTTGGATTTCATAAATACTCTTTTGGATTTCTACCCATCCATCCACTTGTCTACCTGCCCAACTACCCACCCACCATTCTCCCATGCACCCATGACAGGTGGGTGCCCATCATTCCTCTCCCCTTTCTCTCTCTTTGGGAACAGCAGAGACTCATTGTCAGGACTATTGGGAAAGGCCTCTGTCCCCCACACAGCACTGGCTTGCTATCTCTAGGACCTGACACCATGGGATAAAGTTGCGCTCATCTAGAATGCCAGCCTTGTGCTGGCACAAGGGCTCTGCCCTTGCCCTTGCCCCATCTGGCCTTACATGCTGCCCAGCAGAAAGGTGACTCTTTCTGTCATGGAAAGGGAATGCTGCCAAGCTCAAAACGCAATCCTGGAAAACAGCTACTGAGCCAGGGTGCCGGGGCGCTCCACCCCATCCCTCAGGGAACAGCGATTCCAAACAGGTCTGGGAACTCTCCCAGCCAAAGCCTCAGTGCCTAGTTTTCTTTTTTGTCCATGTTTGTATTCTTCTCCACTCACACCCCTGCTCTTTCCAGTCAGTAGCAAAGCAAAAAATTAAAGGAAGAACCTTTAGAATTGGAAATGTGCTAGAATTTTCTGCCATTCTCAGGGGATTATAGATTGCACTGAAGCCAGCATCAATCTTTGTCTAGTTTCACTGTTACCGAAAATGAAACCTGCCACCTCTCCAAGGAGCAGCCTAGCAAAAAACTCACCTTTTTAAATATTCATGAACCACTAAGAGAGTTTATAATAATTTTTTCTATGAAAGCAATCCAAGTTATATGTGAAATAAATGCAGAGATTCTCAATAAAGATACTTTAGGGGTTCTCATAATAGACAAGTCAAATGTCCTAAGTGTACAATGAAAAAAATAAGTATCTCTAAGCAATTTATATCCAACTGAAATATACTTAGACACTAAAGCAGTATTTGTGAATATTTTTAAAAGACACAGAAAGCTGGGTCTGGTGGTACATGCTTGTAATCCCAGCAATTAGGAGGTAGATGTGGGAGAGCCATGAATTTGAGGCCATTCTGGACTACTGAGCAAGATCACAATAGTAGCTAAAGCTGACCTCTCAGCTATGGGGGAACTGAGGAGTCACCTCATTTCCCCAGCTTCCTTCCCTCACCCCTTCCATATAACAAGATAAAATATGATCCCCAAGTCTCTTCAGTTCTGACATCTCATTCATTCATGCAATCACTGTGTACTGAGTACTCTCTATTTGACAGGCACTCTGCCTGATATGGGGTTTATATTGTAGACTAACCATAAAAATTAATCTATCATAGCAGTGATGATACATGCTGTAGAAGAGGGATCCTGTCGTGTGTGTGGGTTCTGACAAAAGTGGCAGGTGGTATGGTTGGAAGGGTCGCCTTGGGCTGGAGGGTCTCCTTAGGAAGGTGGCTTTGAGCTAAAATTACAAGAAAGGCAAATGGAGTGTGATCTACACCGAGGCAACTGCCAACCAGAGTCTAACAGCTGCCAGCTAACATCTATCAGCTTGAGCCCCGAGGATACTAGAGAAAGAAGCTCTTTCTTACTCACAGAGGTTTGGGGTCGCTGTGGGGGTCTGGATGCTGACAGATACTCATGGAGGAAGGGAAAAATCTCTGAATGAATGAAAGAGGAAGAGAAAGAGAGGAGGGAGGGAAGGAAGGATGGGAGGAAGGAAGGGAGGGAGGAAGGAAAGGAAGAGAGGGAGGGAGGGAAAGGAGGGAGGGAGGGAAGGATGGAAGGGACAAACAGAGCTAGTATGGTGGCTCAGGCCTGTAATTCTATCTACTCAGGAGGATCTTGACACTAGCCCTGGAAAAAAAAGTTCACAAGACCCTATTTCAACCAATAGAGAACTGGGTGCAAAGCCAGGCGCAGATGGCTCATGCCTATAATCCTAGCTACTCAGGAGGCTGAGATCTGAGGATCCCAGTTCAAAGCCAGTGTGGGCAGAAAAGTCTGTGAGACTCTTATCTCCAATTAACCACCAGAAAATTAGAAGAGGTGCTGTGGCTCAAAGTGGTAGAGTGCTAGCCTTGAGCTAAAAAGCTCAAGGACAGCCCTAGGCCTTGAGTTCAAGTCCCACAACTGAAAAGACTGAAAGTGGCACACATCTGCCATCCCAGCTACACAGAAATTATAAATAGGAAGATAACAATCTAGCCAGCCGAGGCTAAAGTTGAGGCCTTATTCAAAAAATAATGAGAGCAAAGAAAGCTGGAGACATGGTTCAAGTGATAAAGCAACCACAATGCCCTGAGCTCAAGCCCTTGTACTGCTCAAAAATGAAAACTCAAAACAAACAAACAGGAAATGACCTTTCAAATATCTTTGGAAAGCAATTTGGAGCTAAAATGGAATTCGCCTGAGTGATGAGGACTAATAGCTAGACTTGGAACAGATTGTGTAGCTTTTGGCACAGTCCAGGGGCTCTTCCGTTTACAAATCTGAGGAGTGTAGTAAAAACAGAGAGAAGTGGCTTCCTGTGGGAACCCTGCCATGCCCAGAGCAGCACCTGCCCAGCTGTGGGCTGCAGCCTCGGACCCAGGACCCAACAGCCCTGGTACCAAGGGGACACAAGGCCTCAGAAAACGTGTCCTGTCTTCCTCCCAGTCCCCAGCCTCATAACAAGTCATTTCTGAAGGAAGGGAAAGAAAGCAAAGAATCCCCAAGAAAATATTATACAATGCTAGCCAAACTATTTTGGAGTTTCATCTGCAGGTAAAATATCTTTGATGTTTTTGTATGAACTGCTACCGTATTCGAACTTCACAGCGAAGTAAAAACAATTATTTTGGAGTACACATTTTTAAAACTCTTACACACATTAGAAAAATCTAGCTACACTGGGCCCTGTGACAGGCCAGTGTTATTACTTCAAACAGGGCTGGGAACAGGAATGGTGATTTAAACTCAGCAATCCACAAGTCTGTACTTCTATGGAGGTCTTTAGAATAAGGCATGATAGCCTAGCTGGAATGCTGGATGTGGTTGGTTGTGCATGCTGGTCCACAGACCTCCTGTCTTCTGCCAATATCTGTACATTATCTGAACTCTGTGGGGCTCAGCTATAAAGCAAGGT